GCACTCAGGCCCGTGGTCCTGATCATCCTCTATTTGGACCTGCTGGGTAAAGCCACGAGGAACCCCAGAACGGGCTCCCACACAGGCCTTAACAAATTTTAGTGAATACATGACTGTTTAAGATGAAAATGCTATTTCAGCCTCTTTAGCAATTGAGTGAGACCATAAGACAAAATTCCTATCAGTAGAATGCAGATTGAAGTGCTGTGGGAAACTTCCTGGATGTTTCTTTGTAAATCTTTTTATAAAAAGATTTTATAAATCTTTTGTTGTTGCTGTGTGTTTGTTTGTTGAGACAGGGTCTCCTTATATAGTCCTGGCTGTCCTGGAACTCACCATGTAGACCAGGCTAGCCTTGAACTTGGAGAGATCCTCATGCCTTTGCCTCCAGTGTGCTGGGATTAAAGATGTGCCACAACCACACCCAGCCAGAAAGCCTCTTTAAAAGGAGGTTGTGGTCCTCTTGCCTTGCCATTTTGACTTTGTGAATGTAACATGATTGTTTCCACTGGACACTATATTAGCTATCAGGTAAATAGTGGAGCAGGAAGACACAAGAAGCTTGTGTTCGGGTGTGGTGGAGCAGAAGGAGGAAAAGAAGGAGGGGGAGAGGAGGAGGGGGAGGAGGAGAAGGAAAGGAGAAGAAGGGGAGGAGGAGGGGAGGAGGAAGGGAGGAGAAGAAGGAGAGGGGGGAGAAGAGGAGGGGGAGGAGAGGAGGACGGGAGGAGAAGGAGGGGAGGAGGGGGAGAGGAGGAGGAGGAAGATGATGATGATGATGATGATGACGACGACGATGACGACAAGGAGGAAGAGGAGGACGCTCTGCAGGCTTGGCTGTCTTGACACCAGCAGTCTCATTGGACTACTGTATTAGTTGTGCTTCTGCTGCTATCGTAAAACACCCTGAGACAAGGAACTTAAGGAGGAAAGAAGGTGGGTCTGGCACCTAAAGTTTAGCTTGGGGTTGGGGTAGACACCAGGTTACCGTCCATCATTGCAGAGTAGTCAAAGCAGCGGGAACATGAAGCAGCCAGTCACATTAGAACCACAGCCAAGAGCAGAGCCGAAGAGATACTTCAGTGGAAGGGATGTCTGCTACCAAATCTGACACCTCAGCTCAATCCCCTGGACCCACCGGTGGAAGGAGAGAACTGACTCCGGCAGGTTGTCCTCTGAGCTCCACATGTTGCACTATGAAATGAGCACACACACATAATAAATACATATAATGTTAAAGTGTGTAAGAATATAGAGCTGTTAACTAACACACACATGCCTTGCTCAGTTTACTTTTCCTACTCCTTTACAACCTAGAATCCCTTGCCTAGGGAACCACAACTTCCCTTCTCAACAATCAAGACAATCCCCCACAGATATGTCCACCGAACCTAGATAATCCTTCACTGAGACTCCCTTCCCAAGTAATTGTAGATTGTGTCAAGATGACAATTAAAACTAACCATTGTAGACCACTTACCATACATTTCAAGAACCCTTCTGAAACCACAGATAATACTGAATCCTGTATATTCTGTATTGTTTTGTCCTATAACACATGCCCATAATTTAATTTATAAATTAGGCAAAATAAGATATTAATAATAATTAATGATAAAATAGAATAATCATAAAAATATAGTACAATAAAAGTTATGTGAATGTAGTCTCTCTCAGAACTTATGTTTAGAACGCTTCTTGTGCTCAGGTGAGATGGTGTGATATGTGAGAAGTTGATGATATGAGCCACAGGGAATGATGTAGGGGTTGTGATACAAGTGCTGTGATACCATGACAGTGGATGTGACAGCCGTAATGATTCAGTGGTTAGCAGGAGGGTAGAATAGACAGTGTGGATATCAAGCAGAGGGATAGTTCACATTCCAGGGGTTAAAAGGGTGGGAGAACCTGATCTTTCATCATGCTCTTCAGAAAAGTGTACAAGTTAGAATTTATGGAATAATGTAAATTTAGGGTTATGTTTGTTTCTGGAAATTTTCATTTCGTATTTTCAGACTAGAGTTGGCTATAACCACGAAACCTAAACCAAGGGGACATGGGGAGGGAAGGATGTGAGCAATATCCAATTTAACACTGTTTTGTTTCTATTGCGTTCTTGTTTTAGGTCTTTCTCTGTACGGCTGAACCTAATCTCAACTTGTGTCAACTATGAGCGGCAAGTCTTCAGGATAAGAAAGTGAGATACACACCAGGAACTGACAGGTCAGTGGGACACACGTTCAGAGTCCAGCCCTTTGCACTTATGTCTTATGAACAAAGCAGCCAGTTCACTTGAGCTCAGTCTGGAGTCCCACTGGTTGATTCCCACGCAGAACTGTCCATGTTGACTTGCCTACCAGGGGTGCCCATCCTGCTGCCCATTAGCTCGTACGTCCAAGGATAACGGCAGATGTTACCCAACATAGTTGTTGATGACAACACCATGTTGCAATGTCAAAGGGCTGTGCAGCCCTGGGCTCTACACTGTCCCTGGTACTATGCTATAGGGACAAGTATTAGACCCTTGAATCCTAACATGACCGAGACACTGTACCCTTACCCCCTTTTGACAGAGGCGAGCCTGGTGTCTCCCCAACAGCCTTGTCCCAGAGTCACACAGCTGTGAGTACCTGAGCAGAAACTTTAGACCGTTGTCATTTAATTTCAAAGCTCCTTCTCCTCCTTCCTTGCCTGCTTGATGCCTCCACCCCGCTGTGGTTCCTTATGTTGGGGAAGTCTCAGAAGGAAATAGATAGTCTGAGCTGATTATTCTCAATTTGATGATTTGTCAATCCAACTCCTGAAGAGTAAAAGAGACAGAGGTAGGCTTTTTCCCCCTCTCTGTGTCATTCTGGACTTTGCTTAAAAATAGTTGTAACTCTGTATTTAAAAGCTGTGCTTCTGCCCCCGTGGGTCAAATGGGACACAGGTATGTTGGAGAAAGCCAAGATTACATAAAAATAAAAATAATGGCTTTCTGTGTATGATAGCCATACCAGGAAGACTTCATTGCAAGCAGCAATCCGCTCTGCTCATGGAGATGCTGGGATGTCAAAATGATCTGAACTCTCTGGCAGCAGACTTCTCTTAGCACCGAACAGAGCCAGGTAGGTCCGAGGGCCTGGTGACCGAAGCCTAGCTGGGAGTAGAATAGACCTACTCCAGTGATGACAGGCCTTCTTGTTCACTCGCAGTGGGTAGGGCTGTGGGTATCATGCTGCAAAGCATCCTAGTAGGCACTGGAGGTCTCAGTAGGCCATTTGGAAGATAGGTAAGACCCTATCATTACAGTGCATGGTGTAAAAGCAGCCGTACATCTGGAGGTCCTGGGTAGATCTGTTAGGAAAAGGGAATCGAGGGCATGAGAAGATGACTCAGCCAGTGAAGGGCCTGCCTGATCAACATAAAGACCTAAATCCAATCCCTAGCATCCACCTAAGTGTGAGCCTGTGATCGCTAGAAAGGAGGAGACTGGCAGATTCTTAGAGTTCTGTGGTCAGCCAGACTAACTTAATCAGTGAGCTATAGGTTCAGTGAGAAACCTTGTCTCAAAATATGAGGTGGAGCCGGGCGGTGGTGGCACACACCTTTAATCCCAGCACTCGGGAGGCAGAGGCAGGTGGATCTCTGTGAATTCGAGGCCAGCCTGGTCTACAGAGTGAGTTCCAGGAAAGGCACAAAGCTACACAGAGAAACCCTGTCTTTAAAAAAAAAATGAGGCAGAGAAGCATTTAAAGTAGACACCTGACATTGATCTCTTGCCCCCCCACACACACACATGAAGAAAAAAAAAAAGAAGTCAATACTGTTTTCAACATTGAGGATCTTCTACTAGAGGTCATTGGGTTAGTAGGCACGGAGGCTTTTCTCTAAAATCTTCTCGCTTGTCACCACTAGTTGAGTGGTCAAAGGGAATGAGGACGTGTGAGTGGTGACATGTAGTAAACACCTGGCTGCTTGTGCCCAGTCGAGTGGACTCCAGGGCTACCAGTCCCTGACTCTGCTGCACTTGACCATGGCAGGGAGTCTGAGGTGCAGCTCACCTCATTCTGTCTATTTCCTCTCAGGGAAGCATGTGTCTGGATGCAGAGTCCTCAGACACAGCAACAAGAAGTGTCTCTGGCTTCTGAACCCTGCTGGACTCAGGCAGGGCCCCTCCTGCAGTGAGTTTTGGAAGTGGGCGTCGGGAGAATGGTTGGCAGGGAGCAGGAGTCCACACAATCTGTTGGAATGGATTTACTTCATCTGTGTCCTTACACTTTCTAGTACCCAATGTTCATCCACCCCAATGTTCACAAGCCCAGATGTGCCTCACCTGACGTCACATCAGCTCCTCTAATTCCAGCTCTCCTACCTTCTTCTCTCTGTGTAAATATGTGAGAGGTATGCGTGTAATGTGTGTGTGGAGGCAGTAGGCTGACCTTGGTGTCATTCCTCAGATGCCATCGACGTCACTTTTTGAGACAAGGAGTCTCATTTGGCCTGGATTCGTCTGTTACACTAGGTTTGACTGGCCAGCAAGCCTGAGGATCCACCTGTCTCTGCCTACCTTGCACTGGGACCACAAGTGTACACCACCACACCTGGCTTTCTTATGTGGGTTCTGGGAGTCAAACTCCAGTCCGCATGCTTACGTGGCAAGCACTTTCCGATTTAACCATCTCCTCGCCTCCTGCCTCCTTCCTTAGGGACCTGGGTGATTATCCTGGGCCATGCAGGTCATTCGGGATAATCTCATTTCAAAACCCTAATTTAGACATTCCTACAATCTTTGTCCTGTGTTAGGTAATATGTTTGTGGGATCTATGGATTCAGATGTGGACTTGTTTGGCTGATATTTTTTTTTCTGCCTTCTTTAGTAAACATTCAATAAGACAAAACTATGGTCACTGATTTTGTTTTAGACTGATTCAGGATGTGAGGTGGTCTGAAAGAAAATGGCCCCCATAGATTCATAGGGAGTGGCATTATTGGAGGTGTGGCCTTGTTGGAGGAGGTGTGTCACTGGAGGTGGGTTTAAATGCTCAAGCCAGGCCCAGTGTCACTCTCTCTTCTAGAAACAGAACTCTCAGCTACCTCTCCAGCACCATGTCTGCCTGTGTGCTGCCATGATTCCTGCCATGATGACAATGGACTGAACCTCTGTACTGTAAGGCAGCTCCAGTGAAATGTTTTCCTTTATTAGAGTTGCCATGGTCATGGTGTCTGTTCACTGCAATAGAGCCCTACCTAAGACAGGAAGCATGGTCAGGGATGACCTTTTCTGGGATCTTCCTAGACAAGAGACTGGGGATCCCCACAATGTAGAAAGGCATGGAGTTCTGAGAACAAAAAACCCACAATGATGGACTGTACCCCCAAACTATGAGTGAAAATAAACCCTTCCATCCATCCTTCCTTCCTTCCATCCATCCTTCCTTAATTTGCCTTTCTCAGGGACTTTATAACAGCAAAGGAAAAAGTAACTAATTCAATTTGCTAAAGTCAAAATGTCACACATACACAGCAGCATTATAAATAACACTATAACCCAAAGGTGAAAAAACTCAGATGTCCATAAGAGATGAAGGCATAGACGAGATGTAGTCTGTACTAAAAGTGGAATATTGTTCAGCCTTTGAAAAGTAAGGAAATTCTCACACATGTTCCAATATAGGTGAGCCCTGAGGACATTATTCTAAATGAAGCAAGTCAGCTTCAAAGGGACACATGCTGTAGGACTCTACTTAGGTAAGGTCTCTGGAGTAGCCAAATTCATGGAGGAACAGGAAAAAAGCAGTGGCAGCTTTCACAATCTAGAGAGAATGGAAATTGGGAAGTGAGTGTTTGATGGGAACAGCATTTCAGTTTGGGAGGAGAAAAGAAGATGGGGAACGGTGGTTAACTTTCCCAACAGTGTGAATACAGTTAGTCACGCATGGATAAGATAGTAAACTTCATGCTATGTGTACTTCACTACAATTTAATTTTAAACTTATTTAAAAACAAAGTCTAACACAGACTATTCTGCTCTGGATGACAGCGATAGGAACAAACTCTTAAAAGAAAGCCAGTCACATAGCAGGGCTGAAGAGAGGATAATCCCATGGCTGGTGGCCGGTAGGGGCATCATTCAGGGTCTGCTGTGGGCAGCCATAGCAAGTGGAGTAGGCAGCCAGAGTCAGGGACTGAGCTGTGATGTGTTTGGGTGAGGAGTGAGAGACGGGAGGCTAGCGACCTCCTTCCCTTCCTTGCTGTGTGTTTCTAAGGACCACCCTTTGTCAGCCTGCTGGGGACCTAGGATGTCACAGAGACCCGGTCACTCTTCCCAGAGTTGGTCTCTCTTGTTCCCATCCTGGGATCAAAGGGACCCTCTCCTCCACAGGAACCCCATGTTTGTTTCCTCGACTTCCTGGTGACCTAGTTTTCTGTCCCTGCGCTTTCTTCCTTCTCTCCCAACCTCTGGTCCATCCCACTCCTGCTGTGTTGGAAGGAAAAGGCTCCGACCTTCCATTCCAGATGGTGGCCCTTGGGCCTCATGCCGGTGGGAGCCTAGCCAGGCCCCTGCTCCCTGTCAGGCCTTACTCTATGATTGTGGGGGATTGCAAGGATCAGGGGCAAGACTGGTCCTTTGTTCTTCCAGCCTTCCTGAGCAGGATCCTCCTGGAGCTGGGGCAGTCAGCCATATGCTTCTCTCTCAGGAAAAATAATCTCGGGTTATTCTGATTATAAGCAAAATGTATACAAGCAGTGGACAAACTTGGGTATTCCAGAATGCAAAAAAAGAAAAAAAAACTGAAAACCCTACTTTTAAAAACTCAGCCATATTATCTTATCTCAGGAAGAAAATCCTTAGCATTTTCTGGATACAGGTGTCCCTTGCTGAGCCTGTGGGTTTGGTTCTACAAGGCCTTATCCCCATGGGCCCCCAAATCTGGGAAGCTCAAGTCTCATGTACATGGTGTAATATTAGTGTATATAACTTGTCCCCTTCCTGGTGTGCACTTTAAATCATGTCCACATCACTCACAATCCCCATACAATGTGAATGCTGTGTAAATAATTGCTGTATTATATTATTTGGGGGACAACAATAATAAAAAGGGCCATTCTATGCCCCATGCAGACATAATTTGTGTTTTTCCCAGATATTTCCCCCAGTTGACTGAATATACACATGAAAACCCACACGTTTGGAGGACCAACTGCTCCCTTTCAATATAGACTGTGCATGGGGGTGGATCTTATCATTCAATTATTTATACCCACAATGACAACATACTTAATAATATAGACAATAACAAATACTATGTAATATATTTGCACATGTGGCTTTGCTCTCTTAGATGCTGTTTTCCTTATTCATTTATTTATTTATTTATTTATTTATTTATTTATTTATTTATTTACTTACTTACTTATTTATTGCATGTGTGTATGTATGCATGTTTGCACATTTGGATGTATGTGTGTATAGGTGAGGGGGTGAGTGAGGATGCCAGAGGCTGACATGGAGCGTCTACCTTAATCACTCTCAACTTTATTTACTAGGCAAAGTCTCGGGCGGGCTTACTGGATCTGCTAGTCTTGCTAGCCAGTGTGGTCCATGGATCCTGTGTCTCCACCTACCCAAGTGATGGGATTACAGGCATCCACCACACCTACCTGGCCTCTATCTGAGTACTGGGAATCTGTACTCTGGTCCTCATACAGCAAGCACATCTTCCACTAAGTCATCTGCCTGTGCCCACCAGAACCGCCTTCTTGTTTCAGTCAGCAGTGCATTATTAGAAACATCTTTCCTTGCTGTGCTCTCCTCCCCTCCCCCACCCCGCCACACCACGCCCCCAACAGTGCTGGGCTTGGAACCTGGGGCCTTGTTCATGCTAACAAGCACTCTAACACTAAACTAGACTCTAAGCCGTGCCATATCCCATCAAATGATTGCACAGTATTCTGCCATGTGGACAACCCATGGTTCAGAATTTCTTAAACCAGAGTCTGTGGATCCTTGAGTATTTAGAAGGATTCCTTTGTTTATGGAAGAAATTTATTGTAGCCATGTTTTGTAAAAATATGAGCAAAAAGCACCAGGTAGAGAAATCGGGGAAGAATTTCTTAATGGGTAAAGAACCTGTGTAAGGTTGGGGTTTGAAGAAATGGACTTCAGGCATCTGGATGCTGGGAAAATATCTTTTCTGGTGGGCTTGCAGGGAAAAGTTTCTTGGATGGGGTGAGAGGCATAGTGGGCTATCTGCTTTCCTCCTCATTCATGGGATGGAACTGAGGTGCTTTATGCAAGACATGGGCAGTTTGATCTCTTTATGGAGCTAAGTCATAGCAGCCATAGCAGCCACTGGGCTCTGTCCAGGTGTAATTAGATATATCCATCTCTTGTCTGCTCATCATTCACTCCATTCATCGTGCATTCACAGAGAATTCATAAGTTGTTTTTTGCTATGTAGTAAATTACCCCAAAGTTGAGTCACTGAAATAACAATAAACTGTAAAATTCTCTTTTCTGATTTCTGTGGACCATGAATTCCAGAGAAGCTTAGCTTGGTGGTCTTGGATCAAGGCCCCACATGAGATGGAGTCCTGAGGCCAGGTAGGACAGCATGTGACTAAGGACTTGATTTGGTCTTCCAGTTCTGCTTTCACAGGGTGCCTCAGTTCCCCACCATGTGGCTCTATCCAGAGGACTGCTTGAGTTTCTTTACAACATGGTGACTGGCTTGCCCAAAGTGAGCTGAGAGAAAGCCAGAGACGAAACAGGAATTATTTTTATGACCTTTCCTGAAGAGTCACACTTGTCATTTCTATAATATCTTATTCACCCGTGAGTCATCCTCATTCAAGTTGGCCCTATCCGACGTGTGCATGGATGAGACTATCAGAATTCTGGGATAATTGGGTACCATCCCAGAGGCTAACTATCACTATGATAAGCCAGGATGAGTGCTAAGGACAGAAATGGAATGAGATAGTCTTGCATCTAGGAAAATGATGTTGATGTTGATGTGCACAACTGTGATGACATTCAATCTCTGGTTGAAGGTCACTTTACAGGTGTGGCCACAGAGATTGTCCTTAGCCTCAAGGTAACTAACCCCTGCCTGCTATGAGCATACAGCACTGCGTTGCTAACCAGGACTGTCTATGATGGGCAGAATCAATGTTCAAGTTTATGGTCTATAAGCTATTTCTCTGTCTCTTTCTGTCTTTCTCTGTCTGTCTGTCTGTCTCTCTCTCTCTATCTCTCTCTCTTGCTCTCTCTCTCTCTCTCTCTCTCTCTCTCTCTCTCTCTCTCTCTCTCTCTCTCTGTGTGTGTGTGTGTGTGTGTGTGTGTGTGTGTGTGT